GATTCTTGTGGACTTGTTTTAATTTTCTTCAGCTTCAACCTGAACTTGTATAGGAGCAATTGATGGTCTTTTCCACAGTCCATCCCTGGCCTGGTTTTGGCTGATGATATTGAGATTCTCCATCATCTCTACCCACAGATGTAGTCCATTTTATTCCTGTGTATTAGGTACAGATATAAAGCTACTGTTTATGTTGCTGAAAACACATGTTCCCAGTGAAAAAGGTGTTGGTCTTGCACAATTTTATCATGCTATCCCCAGCTTAGTTTCTATAACCACGGCTATCTTTTCCAACTGCTGGTCCTTCCTCTTTGTTTCCAGCTTTTAAATTCCTGTTACCAATAATTATTGATACATCTTGTTTGAATGTTTGATCAATTTCAGACTGAAGAAGTTGGTATAATTCTCCAATTTCTTCAAATTAATTTCTTCAATTTCTCATTGGCTTTAGTGGTTGGTATGTAAATTCAAATAATAGTTGTATTAACTGGTCTTCCTTGTAGATATAAAGATACTACCCTATCACCAACAGCATTGTACTTCAAGGCAGACCCTGAGCTATATAAATATCCACTAATTCACAATAAAAGTCATTTTTTAATCCTATTTCAAAAAGAAAATATAGATCTTAAAGTGTTCTTTTTGATGGATCTGCCATTATAGGCATACAATTGTCTGATTCAAAATGGTCAATACCAGTCAATTTCTGTTCGCTAATACCTAGAATATCAATCTCAACTTTTCCACAAAATTTACTTACTGTCTTAGTTTATCCAATGCTACTGTAACATGTACCTTGAGCAGTTGACTTTAACAAACATATATATATATTCACTCATGGTTTAGGTGGCTGGAAGTCGAATTCAGGTTACCAGCTCTAGAGAAAGCTGTCTGTCCTTGACAGCTCTGGAGGAAGGTCCTTGAGTTAGTTAATTGTGCCAGCCTGGCCAATAATCACATGTGGAGCTAATTGAAAGGCGGAGGGATAAATGGGTGGTGAGCCTCGCCTTTCT